CCCCCCCGGCTGGAGCGCTCACCCAGGTTGCTGCTGCTTGCTCCTGTCGGTCCCTCACTCACCCGACCCTCCTTTGGCACCACCGCCTAGGTCACCCTGCGCTCCCGCGTCTGCGTCACATGTCCCAGCACGGTCTTGTCCTTGGTCTCCCAGGTTCTCTCCCCGCGTTTCCCTCCTCCCCCGCCCCCCCTTGCACACCTTGTGTCGAGGGTCGGCTTCGCCATGCCCCTCACTCCTCCTCGTTTTCCCCTACCGCCGCGCCACTGCAGACCCTGCACCTGGACGTCTGGGGCCCCGCCCCCGTCCCTGGGCCGCGTCGAGAGTGCTACTTCCTTGTGCTTGTCGACGACTTCACTCGTTACACCACAGTCTTTCCCCTGGAGCGCAAGGCCGACGTGCCTGGCGCTCTCATCCCCTGGCTTGTCTCTGCGCGTGTCCACCGCGGTCTCCCTGTCTTGCGTCTTCACTCAGACCGTGGTGGCGAGTTTGCCTCAGGTGTCCTTGGTCGCTTTTGTCGTGCGGAGGGCATCACCCAGACGTTCACACTACCGGACTCCCCACAGCAGAATGGGGTCGCTGAGCGACGCATCGGTTTGGTCATGGAGGTGGCTCGCACCTCCATGATCCATGCCGGTGCACCCCATTTTCTGTGGCCGTTCGCTGTGCGCTACGCCTCTCACCAGCTTAACTTGTGGCCGCACCCTCAGCAGCCGCAGGTTTCGCTGACCCGTCTTTGGACTGGGTCTTCTGGTGACGCGTCTGCGTTCCACGTCTGGGGCTGCCTTGCTCACGTTCGTGCCTCCGGCACGGACAAGCTCACTGCCCGCACCCTTCCCTGCGTCTTCCTCGGTTTTCCCCTTGACGCGTCCGACTGGCACTTTTACCACCCGCCGTCTCACCGCTTCTTTCACTCTCGCGACGTCACCTTTGACGAGTCCGTTTCCTACTACCGTTGCTTCCCCCACCGTGGTCCCCCGGTTACCCCCCCCCTGTTCCTGGTCACTCCTTCCCCGGTAGTCCCTGCCCCTCCTCCTCCTCCTCCCCGTCCCGCCCCCTCTGGTGTGTCCCACGTCACCCCCCTTCCGTCGGAGGACCCGGTTAAGGAGTCTTCTGACTCTGGTGGCCCTCCTGTGCAGTCCTCGCCGGCCGCCCCTCCCCCGGTGTCCCCTTCCCAGTCCCCTCCTCCACCGCCTCTGCCGCCGCTGCAGCCGTCGTTGTCGCTGCCGCCGCCACCGCCGCCGCCGCCGTCGCTGCCGCCGCCACCGCCGTCGCCGACGTCGCCGCCGCCGCCGTCGTCGCAGCACCCGTTCGCTGACTCTGGGGGTTCTCGTTCCGGTCGCCCTGGGGGTGGCCCCTCTGGGGGTGCTAGCGTGGAGAGTGCCGGTGGTAGCCGAGGAGCAGCTTGCGGTCCAGGTGTCGCCGTTGTGCCGCTGCAGCAGCAGTCCCCGCCGGTGTTAGCCCTTCGCCTGCTCGGCCTTCCGTCCCCCGACCCTGCGTCGGTTCCTCCCCGACCGTCTCCTCCTCTTCCTGTCTACGGCCCTGTTTTCCCTCCGCCGGACTCGTCCCCGGCCCGTCTCCCCCCTCGTTCCCCTCCTGTGTCCCCTCCTCTGTCTCCTGACCCGACTCCTCCGTCGCACGTCTGGTCTCACCGTCCCTCCCGTGCTCGTCCTGCCTCGCCTGTCTTGAGCTCCCACCCTATGTTGCTTCGTTCCCACGCGTCTCGTCCTCCCCTTCTGCCGTCGCCTCCTCCGTCCTCCCTTGTTGTTGCACCCCCCCCGCTGTCTGACTACCTTCGTGCCGCTCGTCCTCTTGTTCCTCGGGTCCTTGCCTCTCTCGTTACCGACCCGTCTGTTCCGGCCTCGTGCCTTGACGCTCTTGTCGCTGCTGTCGATGACTTCGCCTCTACCCACCGCCTTGACTACGCCTCCGCTCTGGTCTCTGACCCTGCCTGTCTTCCGTCTGTTGGGGGTGCTCCTGCCCTTGGCAGTGACGTCCTGGAGGACCGCCAGTTCGAGCTTGCTTTCCTCTCCGAGGCTGCTCCCCATCTCTGTTCCATGCTGCTAGTCCCTGAGGGTGACCCAGACGCTTTCGACATCCCGACCCCTCGCACTTACGCTGAGGCGACTTCGGGACCCTGGGCCTCGCAGTGGATAGCTGCCATGGAGCAGGAGATGGCATCTTGGAGATCCACCGGCACCTTCGTCGACGCAGTTCCCCCACCTGGGGTGAACGTAGTCGATGGCCGCTGGCTCTTCAAGGTGAAGCGCCCTCCTAGAGAGTTGCCTGTCTTCAAGGCGCGCTATGTGGCTAGAGGCTTCAGTCAGCGCGAGGGGGTGGACTTCTTCCAGACCTTCGCTCCGACCCCGAAGATGACTACTCTTCGGGTTCTGTTACACCTAGCTGCTCAGCGTGACTACGAGCTTCACTCCCTCGACTTCTCCACTGCCTTCCTTCAGGGCAGCCTACACGAGCAGGTCTATTTGCGTCGCCCTCAGGGCTTTACTGGCACCTTCCCTCCTGGGACCCAGTGGCTGCTGCGGCGCCCCGTCTACGGCGTGCGCCAGGCTCCCCGTGCGTGGCACGACACTCTCCGTGCTACGCTTGCTGACATGCAGTTCTTTCCGTCTTCCGCAGACCCCTCACTCTTCGTTCGTGCTGGCTAGACTCCGTTCTACATCCTTGTTTACGTCGACGATCTGGTCTTTGCCACAGCAGACAGGGACGCACTGGCCTCCGTGAAGGCAGAGCTGCTGAAGAGACACACGTGCTCTGACCTTGGAGAAGTGCGCCGCTACGTTGGCTTGCAGATCTCCAGGGACAGAGCGTCGCGCACCATCACCCTGACTCAGTCACACTTGGTGTGCAAGGTCCTTCAGAGGTTCAGCCTTCAGTTCTCCTCTGCACAGCCCACCCCTCTGCCTGTAGACCACAGACTCTCCGCTCCAGTGTCTGAGGAGTTGTTAGAGCCCAGCGGCCCCTACGCAGAGCTGGTGGGTTGCCTCATGTACCTGATGACTTGCACTCGCCCAGATCTCACATACCCTCTCAGCATCCTGGCTCGCTTTGTGGCCACAGGCAGACACCGACCGCAGCACTGGTCTGCCGCTAAGAGGGTTCTGCGTTATCTTGCTAGTACATCGGGCATGGGGTTAGTGCTAGGAGGACGCAGGCCAGTGGTCCTTACTGGACACACTGACGCTTCATGGGCAGACGACGCCGAGACACTCAGGTCTACCCAGGGCTACTGCTTCAGCCTTGGCTCAGATGCCGTCTCGTGGAGAGCTACCCGCTCCTCGTCTGTTGCGCAGTCCAGCTGTGAGGCTGAGATCTATGCTGGTGCCATGGCGGCACAGGAGCTCCGCTGGCTGACCTTCTTGCTCACTGACTTAGGTGAGCGGCCTAGCTCTGCCCCGGTCCTGTTCGCTGACAACAGGGCTATGATCCTCCTTTGCCAGGAGCCTCGACTCGAGGGCAGAGCGAAGCACATCCAGCTGCGGTACTTCCTCCTGCGTGAGCTACAGCAGCGACGTCAGGCTCGCGTAGTACACTTGGCCTCAGGTGCCAACACGGCTGATATCTTTACGAAGGCGCTTGCGCCTAAAGATCATCAGCGGCACTGTGTACAGCTTGGTCTAGTTCTTGTAGCCTCTCACTTGCTAGGACCTTGACTTTGTACTGTCCTTTATATGTATACTCAGACTGGACTTGTGTCCTCTCCCAGTGGCTGGACTAGTAGTGCCGCCCTGCTCTTGTTCTTGCCTTGTCTGTACTCCTTCTGACTGGTCTCTCAGACCCTTGTCTCAGAGGTTGGACTAGTAGTGCCGCCCTGAGCTGTTTGTTTAGGACTTCCCCTATGCAGTCTAGGGGGTGTGTCAAACATGTGTATTTGTCATGTTTGTATAGACTGTATAGGGTCACCTCTTAGAGGGTACAACACTTAGGTATATCTGTGTGTACTCTTACTCTATCAAACACTTCTCTAATTCTGATACTTGTCAAGTGAGACCTAGTCAAGTGAGACCAAGTCAAGTGAGACCTTGTCAAGTGAGCCGAGGTCTCACTTCCCGGGGTCTCACTTTGCGAGGTATCACTTCCCGAGGTCTCACTTCCCAATATCTCGCTTCCCGAGGTCTCACTTGGCCAGGTCTCACTTCCCCAGGTCTCACTTCCCGAGGTCTCACTTGCCCGGGTCTCACTTCCCAAAATCTCACTTCTCGAGGTCGCACTGCCCTTACCTCCACTGCCCATGCCTCCACTGCCCTTAAAAACTCTGCCCTTACTTCCAATGCCCTTACCTCCACTGCCCTTACCTCCACTGCCCATGCCTCCACTGCCCTTAAAAACTCTGCCCTTACTTCCAATGCCCTTACCTCCGCTGCCCTTACCTCCACTACCCGTACCTCCACTGCCCCTACCTCCACTGCCCTTACCTCCATTGCTCTTACCTCCACTGCCATTCTCCATCCTCCATCCTCCATCCGCATTCTGCGTCAATCAGAGCACAAGAGCCTTTCTTTCAGGGGTGGCAACCACACCCTTTGAACACTGTTATGATGGGCATATGATAGCATGGCAATTGGAATCGGCTGCTTCAGGAAATGGCTGCTGCGACTAGCATTTGATAGGCCCGTGTACGTGCTTTGGATCGCATGGCACCTTCTAGTGGTTGAAGATTTGATGAGTGGTTGCCATTTTATGGGGATTATTGAGTATAGTGTCTTGTTGGAAATTGGATCTGTTACAGTGCACAGCAGAATTTTGCAGAAGAGAATGTACGGTACATGGGGCACTTCATGTTTGTGACGCAGTTTGGATCCTACAATGTTTTTGAGTAATGTACTGCCGTGTATGCAATATGCTTTCGAGGCCGAGACTCTAACGCGTTCTTTGACACCCCAACCCCCACAACCGATTTCTAGGCCACCTCGCCAGGTACAGTAGCAGCATTGCGTGTCATGGCATGGCGATCCAGTGCAAGAGAGTGGACCGTGCAGGAGCAGTTGAATTCCTGCTTGCACTGCACGCATGTGGGCAGACACTGGCGCTTCTGGTATGTTGAGGATTCTAGCGAATGTGTAGGAGCTCGCGTTTAGAAGTCTAGACCGCGATTTAAACCGCCAGTTAAAAGAGCGTTCTTCTTTTCAGATGCTGTCATGGCGCTCCGTTTCCTCCCACGATCGATCGAAGGTTTTTAGGGTCTCTTGCCGGTCGACGCGTCGGTTCGGTGGCATTGGGAGAGCGGTGGTGTTCGAGCTAGGCGCAAGGGACTGAAACCGATTAGTAGACCCTAAGTTGTAATCGACCACGATCGATGCGGGAGAGACGGGAGAGTTTTTTGAGTAAATCTCGGCCGTCAGATCGGACCTCCTATTTTTCAGCGCGTTACAATCAAGCGCTTTACTTTTCCGTTTCGGACGGACCAGGGAGGGTGTTTTTGAATCAATTGAATTCCTGGACGCGTTAGCCGTGGTTTCTGCGCGCTGCTCCGCTAGGAACCGCGTTCCAACGGCAATCCAGGAGCCGTCGGATTGCGGACGATACGGAGAGTGAATCCGTTAGATTAGGGTGCATCGACTCCGGGCAACGAGACGGGCAGGAGAAAGAGAGAATTGCGACGAGGAGGGCGCAAGGATTCTGTGAAACAGTGTGCAGAGGGAATTGCCGCGGGAAGCCAAGTGAAGCTTTTAAAAAAGTATCCCTTCAAACTAGTGAAGGGGACCACCACCAGTGATGCGGCCTGTGAACGGGCAGTCAGACGAGGCGGCAGCAGCAACGGCAGCCGCCGGGTGGGTTGATCCAACGGTCGCGGGCGCGGATGGCGCGGATGGGAACCTGGAGCAGCGGTGGGGGTCGTCCAAGGGCCTGATGCAGTCGCCCGGCCAGCGGCCCGCCGCTGATCGCACGCAGCTGCGAAGGTACGTGCGACTGCGGTAGTCGCAGCGAGGGAACGAGCGACGGAGCGACAGGAGGAGGGAAGGGGTAGGGGAGATGGGATTAAGGGGTTGTGGATGAATCGGAAAGGGTAGTGACAGGCCGTGGTAGGAGCTCGTCCTTTAGGCTTTTTGTTCTTGTTTTTGTTTTTTTCCGAGGTATTCTCCGAAGTTCTGTGCGTGTCTTTTTCGCCTAGTACTCTTGCGGATACCGCTCGCGCACTCTGCACAATCAGCCTCGTTGCTCTCACCACTTCTCGGACCTCTCACCCGCCGCAAATTCCTTCATTTCTTTTCCACTCCCGGCTTCCTCCCGCTATCCGGCTAAGGTCGATCTCTCCCACTGCCCGCGACTCTCCTATTCCCCTTCCGCCCGATCCCTTTTTTGCCCGGTCCTAATTCTGCTCCTTTTCCCGTGACCAATCTGCGTCCCCTGCTGCCGTCCAGGCGCACGCGCAACGTGCAGCAGCTGCTGGCTCTGCGCGAGTGCCGCCCCGTCGTGCGCCGCGCCCCATGCAGCCCCTGGACCGACTCCCCGCGCACCCTGCCGCCTGCCCCCGCCGCTGGCGGAGGCGGAGGCGGAAGCGGTGGTGGCGGCGGCGGAAGTGGCAGCATGGCTGGCGGCGACAGGGGGGGCGGAAGCCGTGGGAGGGAAGCGGGAGGCTTAGGACGGGGGTCGGTTGAGGCAGGGGCAGAGCTCGCTGTTAGGGCGGATCACAGCAGAGGGGCCGATCGCGGCAGGGAGGGAGGGGCGGACGGCGTGGGGGCAGGGGGGGTGGGATCAGCAGGGGATGGCAGGACCGGGGTTGGGGCTGGGGCTGGGAGTGGGAATGGTGGCAGCAGTCGGGTGAACGCTGCAGTGATGCTGGCTCACTGGTGAGCGAGAGACGAGGGAGAGCGAGGCGAGAGAGAGGCGAGAGCAGGCGAGAGAGAGCTGTGCTGTGCTTGTGCTTCTTCGTTTGCGAGTCGTGTGCCCTAGGTCTGACGATTCGCACTGCGTTTACAGCCACAAGTCCAGCAGTGAGCTCTTATTCAACCTCTCGTCGTTCATACATGCGCATCTCCGTGCTGCCTTCCTTTCATCCTCTCCTCTCCATACCCCCCAGCCCTCTGCCACACCTACAATCCCTTCCCAACCTCCGTCATGCAAGTGCAAGCTTTGCATCCCTGATACCTCCCTTGCTGCTTCCCGTTTTCACCCCCCTCCCCCCACCCCCCACCCCCCACCCCCCTCCCCCCTCCTCCCGGTCCGACCGCACTCCCCTCGCATAACCCAAAACCCGCATGCCCCTTTATTAAGGGTGGAGCGGGACTCGCTCATCCGCTACTCGGCGCAGTACTGCTCCTTGCACCCTGCCCCGCGCTCCACCATCGCCGCAGCTTTCAGCAGCGATGGCGCGTCTCTGGCCTCCACGCAGTAAGCGCCTCTACGCTAACGGCCCAGCCTGTATGCAGCAAGCATGGTGCTCCTCACTCGCAGTCGCCCTCCATTCTTTGCGGCTTCTCTGTCCTCGGCTCTCAGCCTTACCCGTCTCGTCCCTCGTCCCCCACTCCGCCCTGTGCGCACCCCGCCTCACCTTACCTCAAACAGTGGCGACCACACAGTGAAGATCATCAGCTGCGCCACCAGCAAGTGCCTGCGCACACTCACAGGCCACCGCCGCACGCCCTGGGTGGTAAGACTCCCAGTCTCTCATGCTCCCTCCCTCGCCCTTGCACCCTCCCCCATGCGTGGGCCTTTGTCATTGTACCACCTTCCTTTGGCCGACCACCTTGCCTTCCCCCCATCCTTGAGCTCCGTGCTTGCCGCTGCTCTTTGCACTGTTTCTAAGAGTCTCCACCGTTTCCTCATGAGTCCTCCTGAAGCGGTAGGATCTGAGGCTTGCTGTGCCACGTCATGCCATGCCGCCTGCGTGCGTCTGCCATGTCATGCCATGCGGTCCGCGTGTGTCTGCCATGCCATGCCTTGCTGTTCGTGCAGGTGCGGTACCACCCGCGCACGGCGCACGTGGTGGCGAGTGGCAGCCTGGACCACGAGGTGCGGCTGTGGGACACCGACACGGCGCACTGCATCGCCTTCCACCCCTTCTGTACGCCCTCGCACCGCACTCCCTGCCCTTCTCGTTTCTGCACCGTTGGCCCTGCCATTGCTGCCAGTGCTGCCAGTGCTGCCATTGCTGCCATTGCTGCCCGTGCTGCCAGTGCTGCCAGTGCTGCCAGTGCTGCCATTGCTGCCATTGCTGCCCGTGCTGCCAGTGCTGCCAGTGCTGCCATCTGCCGCTGTAGCCCCTTGTTTTTTCCACCCCTTGTGCTTTCTGCCGTCTCCTCTCACTACAAGTCTGCAATTCCTGCTTGCCTTCGTCTCATGGCACATCTGTTGGTCGACTATCATCTCAGCAATCTCAACAATAACCCTGCTGCGTCTTCCCCCTCCACCTGGGAACTCCCTGTGCGCGGGTCAGATCGCCCCATTGCGTCTCTCGCGTTCCATGCTTCGGGGGACCTGCTCGCAGTGGCGTCCGGTCATAAGGTGGGGCTGCTGGGTCCGGGGCACATTGTGCTGGCTCCTATGCCCCTCTTGTATGCCCCCTGCCGTACTTTCTCCTGCCCTTACAGACTTCCTTGCCTGCTGCCCTCCCTGTGGCCCACCTCATTGCTTACCAACTTCCTTTTTTTTTTTTTTTTTTTTTTTTTTTAACGTTATCAGAACCTGACCTAACACATTGTATCCTCCTGTTTCCGCTGCGCGCCTGCAGCTGTACATATGGCAGTACACGCGGTCAGGCGATGCGGCGCAGCCGTGTGTGGTGCTGCGCACGCGGCGGTCGCTGCGCGCCGTGCACTTCCACCCGCACGGTGCGCCGCTGCTGCTCACTGCTGAGGTGCGCCGCTGCCATTCCCCGCCCCTTTCTCCTCCTCTCTCCTCTTTTCTCTTCGCCTCTTTTCCTCTCCTTTCCTCTTCCTCCCTCCGTGGCTGGCCCCTGTCCCACCTATAAGCATCCCGCCTATCAGGACTCTTCCCCCCTCCCCTTCATTCCTCCGTCCCAGTCCCCCACTCACTCTCTCCCCGCCTTGTTCTCTTCCGCTCCCCCCCCCCCCTCTTCCGCTCTCGTTCTCTCTCCTGCTCTCCCGCCAAAACCCCTTCAGGTGAACGACTTGGACTCAGCGGACTGCACGCCTACAGAGGCGCTGTCGTCCGGCTACGTGCACTACCCCCCGCCGTCCTTCCACTTCAGCCCCTCCATGCCGGACGCCACCCTCGCGGCCTCCGCCGCCACTGCAGGCGTCACCCTGCCCGCCACGCCCCCCTTCCCCCTCGCGCAGTGGCAGAGCTGGTTCTGGATGGCGGGCGCAGGCGCGGGGGAAGGGGCGGGGGGAGGGGCAAGAGAAAGAAGAGGGGGCGAGGTAGGAGCGGATGGTGCAGGTGTACACGCAGCTGGTACAAGAGGGGCTGCAGCAGGGGGAGCAGGGGTGGCAGGGGGAGCAGGGGGAGCAGGGGGAGCAGGGGGAGCAGGGGGGGCAGCAGGGAGGGCTGGAGGGACAGGGACCAGTCTAGGGCGAGGAGCAGGCCTGGATGTGAGTTTGGGGCGGCAGAGTGGGGATGCGGGTGTGGGGCAGGAAGCAGGGGTTGGGAGTGGCGCTGCAGGGGAAAGGGAGGACCTTGTTGGAACGCTGGCCGGAGGGAGGCAAGTGGGGGGTCGGAGGGGAGAGGGCGAAGGGAGGGGGAGGAGGGAGGAAATAGTGGGGGAGGCGCGTGGGAGTGGATGGCGTGGCAGCGTTGCTGAGGGGAGGAATGAGGCTGATGCGGCTGACGTGGCGGCTGACGTGGCTGCTGACGTGGCTGCCGATGTGGCGGGGGAAGGTGGGACAAGGGATATGGCGTCTGTGAGCGGCGCAAGGGACGAAGCGCCAGGAGGGGATGGTGCTGGTGAGGGCGCGCTGGGAGAGGATGGGGTGAGGCAGAGTGACAGAGCACAGCTAGGGGGGGCGATTGGGGAAGGAAGTGGGAGAGGAAGTGGAGAGGGGAGTGGGGGGGGAAGTAGGGAGGCCAGCGAGGGAGGGCTTGGGAGGGCGAGTGGAGAAGGGGACGGGGAAGCGTGCAATGGGGCAGGGGGAGCAGGAGTTGCTCGGCCGGGGGCGGGGGCTGCTGATCCCGCTGTGACTGCTAGTGGAGCAGCAGCAAGCGGCCAGCAGGGCGCAGAAGAAGCAGCAGGGGCAGGAGGGGCAGCAGCAGCAGCAGACAACACAGCAAATGCTGCAACACTCGTATCATCATCATCAGCAGCAGCAGCAGATTCAACGGCAGATGCGGCAGCTTCACGCCTTGCAGCAGCCGCAGCGGTTGACGACACCGCAGCGGGAGCAGCAGCGGATGCGGCAGCAGTGAGGGCCGTGGACGCAGCGTGCGAGGCAGTGACAGAGGGCATGTGCGCCGTGTGTCTGCGTGGGTCACATGGTGAATCCGCTCATGGCCCAGCTAGAGGGGAAGACACAGATGTGCCTGATGCACGCCCCAGGCCCAGTGCACAGCAAGCAGACGAGGGAGGTAGGGGAGGGGAAGAGGGGAGGGGGGATGGGGATGAGGCGAGGCGGGATGACACCGGGGCTGGGAGTGGAAGCAGTGAGCTGCAGAGAGCGGGTGGTGGTGCTGGTGCTGGTGGAGGAGGGGGAGGAGGAGAGGGGGAAGAGAACGACACAGCAGGTGCGGGCTTGGGCACGAGGACTGGGGGCAACAGTGCCGGCGTTGCTCGAGAGCTGGAGCGAACTCAGGCAGATGATAGACAGGAGGTTCTAGCTGTGCAGCCGCCACCACAGCAGCTGCGGCAGCAGCAGCAGCAGCAGCAGCAGCAGCCGCAGGAGGAGGTGCAACATCCGCTGCCGCTGCCGCCCCCCCAGCAGCAGCAGGCGCAGCCACAGCAGGTGCAGCGGTTCCCATTTGCACAGCTGCAGCACCCGCTACTGCAGGCGAGCCAGCCCACGCCTGAGATCCCGTGCACCGTGAAGCTCAAGGTGTGGCGCCACCACATCAGCCGCCCCAGCAGCCCCCTCGACCCCGACAGCTGCCGCCTCACTGTGCCACATGCTGTGCTCTGCAGGTAAGGCCGTGGGGAGGGGTTGTGGAGCTTGTGGGGGCGTTGTGCTCACATAGGGTGTTATGTGCGAGGTACGTGCACAGGGCTGTGTGCTCACATAGGGTGTTATGTGCGAGGTACGTGCACAGGGTTGTGTGCTCACATAGGGTGTTATGTGCGAGGTACGTGCACAGGGCTGTGTGCTCACATAGGGTGTTATGTGCGAGGTACGTGCACAGGGCTGTGTGCTCACATAGGGTGTTATGTGCGAGGTACGTGCACAGGGTTGTGTGCTCACATAATGTGTTATGTGCGAGGTACGTGCACAGGGCTGTGTGCTCACATAGGGTGTTATGTGCGAGGTACGTGCACAGGGCTGTGTGCTCATTTCTCTCCCTCCCCCCTCTCTCCCCCACCCCCTCCGCCAGTGAGATGGGTGCTCACTTCTCTCCCTGCGGCCGCTACCTCGCTGCCTGTGTGGCCTGCGTGCCTCCTGCTGCTGCCGCTGCAGCTGCGGCCGCCACTGCTGCTCGCTCCTCCACCAACCAGCACTCCACTCACGGGAGACCCACCAACCCCCCTGCCCCTGCCACAACCACAGCCACAGCCGCCACTAGTGCTGCTGTCGCTGCTTCTGCCGCTGCTGCCACCGCTGCTGCTGCCCGCGGCTCAGCTGTGCATGGTCGTGTGTCTGGGATGCAGGGTCGGGGGTCTGGAGCAGCAGCGTCAGAGCCAACAGGTGCAGCAGCAGGAGGGGCAGGAGTGGCAGGGGGAGCAGGGGTGGGAGGTGATGGTGGGGCGGCTGTAGCAGGGGGGGGAGCAGCTGCAGCAGCAGCGGCGGCAGGTGGTGATGGTAATGGTGGCCTGCACAGCAACAGCTCTGTGGCTGCTCGACTGTCCACAGGGGAGCGACGGCGCAGCCCTTCGCCCCTGGAGGTGAACTCAGGCCAGCAGCAGGGGCTGGGGCAGGGGCAGGGGCATGTGGATGGGCGTGCTGAAGGCACGGATGCAGCTGATGCTGCTGCTGCTGCTGCTGCTGTGGGTGGTGGAGGTGGTGGTGCGCAAGCTGAAGTGACATCAGGTCCGAGTGGGGTAGTGGCAGCAGATGAGGCAGGGACTCGGGAGGCTGGAACCGCTGCTGCCACTGCTGCTGCTGTTGATGCACCTGCTGCCAACGCGGATGATAGTGCTGCTGCTGGTGCTGCTGGTGCTGCTGCTGCTGCTGCTGGTGCCAGAAGCCGGGACATGGGCAGTGGAAGGGGGGCGAATGGAGGGGCGGGGGGATTGGAGCAGGGCTGGCAGGGGTGAGTGGGGCGGTGGGTCTGGCCGTGGGAGGGGGGATGGGCGCTGTCACCACAGCCACATCCCGACTGGCAGCTTGGGTCACGGGAAGAGGCGCCGCTGCTGCTGCTGCTGCTGCTAGTGCTGCTGCTGGCGCCAGCTCTTCTGGAAACACAGCAGCAGGAGCAGCGGAGGCTTCAGGGTCAGCAGGAGGGGGAGCAGCAACGAGAGCAGTGGGCGGGAGAGCAGAGGGAACGACTGGGAGTGCAGCAGCAGGGGGTAACGAGCCAGGGGGGCGAGGTGCAGGTGGGGGGAGTGCAGCTGTGGAGGGGGGTAGAGGAGGCGCAGCAAGTGCAGGGGCAGCAGCAGCAGGAGTGGGTGGCAATGCGATACGGCGGACAAGAGGAGGAACAGACGCGGGGGCGAGTGGTGGCGGGAACTTTGAGCAAGGAGGAGGGGGGGGAGGGACGGGAGGAGGGGGTGGTCGGGGTGGTGGCAGTGGTGGGGGTGCGGGTGCTGGCAGCAGCAGCAGCAATGCAGCAGTGGCGCATCAGGTCATCTATGAGCTCAGGGTGTACTCGCTTGAAGATGCCACGTACGTTGCCCTCCCTCCCTGCTCGCCAACCTTCTGCTCTCAATAGTGCAGTGCCCTTCATCCATCTCCAAGCGGTCCTTTGTATTGCTGGAACCTGGGTACAGGCTAGGCATTCTGGCAAGGTAAGGAAATATGGACAGATTAGCTGGTCTAGGCGGTCCGGGGCCTACAGAGGCCCTTCTTGGGGCTCGAGTAGGCCCTCCTCTCTCTGCTTCCTGCTGCTTCACCTCCTGTTTCCCTGCGTCTCTCTGTGTACTTTTGTAAGAGATTCTTTTTGCTGTCCGTTCGTTGATTTTATTTGTTCATTCCAATTTTCCTGCTCGCTCCTGTTCCTGTGTTGATCATACCTGTTTACAAGACATATGGATCCATCCAAATAAATAACTGTTTTTTTGCTCCTCGCCCCACTCCTCTCCCCGCTCCTCTCCCCACTCCTCTTCCCACTCCTCTTCCCACTCCTCTCCCCACTCCTCTTCCCACTCCTCTTCCCACTCCTCTCCCCACTCCTCTTCCCACTCCTCTCCCCACTCCTCTTCCCACTCCTCTTCCCACTCCTCTTCCCACTCCTCTCCCCACTCCTCTTCCCACTCCTCTTCCCACTCCTCTCCCCACACTCCTCTCCCCACTCCTCTCCCCACTCCTCTCCCCACTCCTCTCCCCACTCCTCTCCCCACTCCTCTCCCCGCTCCTGTCCCTGCTTGTCCTGCCTGCAGCTTCGGTCAAGTCCTTGCATGTCGAGCCATACGAGCAGCACATTGCCTCACTTCCATCCAGGTAACCAAAGGCTCGTGCCCTCACTCACTCAATCTCACTCCCGCATTCCCACTCCCTCACTCACGATCTCATCTCACTCTCTCGCACGTTTCCTAGTTTTGAGGCGCCTCAAAACACGATCTCATGTCACTCTCTCGCACGTTTCCTAACATCCCGTTTGCTTTCCGCTTCTTGCTTACCCTGTAGCACACCACAACCCTCCTTACCCTTCCTTCTGTTCCCCCTCGCCCCCCGTCCCGTTCCCGCCCCGTTCCCATCCCCCCTGCGTGTGCTGTCCTGGCGTGCTATTTTCACTGCATGCTCTCACTCTCCCTGTTCTCCCTCTTCCCCCCCCCCAGTTTTCCCCCACGTCCTGCCATCTTCTGCTGGCGTACGGTCGCCGCCACGGTTCTCTGCTGCGCAGCCTCGTGGCAGATGGCGCCTCCATCGTGCCCGTCTACACCATCCTCGAGGTCCCCCCCTCTCCCACCCACTCCCACTCCCCCCCCAACTTCTACACCCACCACCACACGCACTCGCTGTTTTCGCGTGCCGGCCGGCCCGTCCTTACCTTGCGTTCTCTGCCTTCCCCTCCGCTGCTTCAAGCCGTGTTTTGGCATTCCGGTGTGAGCTCTGAGTCGGAGTGTCTTCCTGTTTCAGCTTCTCATGCTGGCTCTGCTGCTGCTCTTGCCCTGCGTGATCTGCTTTGGTGCCTGGGTGCATGTGCATGGATGCATGGGTGCATGTGCATGGGTGCATGGGTGCATGGGTGCATGTGCATGGATGCATGGGTGCATGTGCATGGATGCATGGGTGCATGTGCATGGATGCATGGATGCATGCGTGCATGGATGCATGCGTGCATGGATGCATGGGTGCATGTGCATGGATGCATGGATGCATGTGCATGGATGCATGGATGCATGCGTGCATGGATGCATGGGTGCATGTGCATGGATGCATGGATGCACGCGTGCATGCGTGCATGGGGGCATGCAGGTGTATCGAGTGTCTGACATGTCGCTGGTGCAAATCCTTGCCAGCGCGGAAGATGAGGTCACCCCACCACACCTCAGCCACTCCTCGCCCTTCAACCGCCCACCTGCCTCTTCCCCCTCTCCCCTCATTCCGATTCTCCCCCTTCACTCTCCCCACCCCCTCTCTCCCACCCTCTTTCTGCCCCATTCCGCTCCCTCCCCTTGCTCCCGTCTCGTCTCTCTCCCACTTCCTCTCCTTCTCACTCTATCCCTCTACACATGTTTTCTTACCCCGAACCCGTCACCCCTGTTCGGGCGCTTTTCTCCCATCACTGCCTGTGTCACTTCTCCCAAACCATGTACCAGCCATACCACCATATCACTTCATACCAGCCCTGCATCCCTCTCAGATTTGTGTAAGGCACTCAGTTGGGCGCTCAGTTACGCAGCAACCCTCTGTGCGCGCCTCCCGGTCCCATCTGTGCAGGTCAATGTGGCGTGCTTCCATCCCAAAGTTGGTGGGGGGCTCGTCTACGGCACCAAGGTATCCTATGCACGAGCAGTTTGGTGCCTATTGTGCTTCCATCTGTACAGATGCCCTTGCTGTGGCAGCATGGGTCTTGAAGGACACCTCTCTCACCTTGCACAGGATCCCACATCTGCTTGCTTCTGCCACTTGCCCCCCCTCCTTCCCTCCTCTCACCCTTTCCTCTCGCCTCTCCCTCTTCCTCCTCTTCTTCCTTTCTCCTCCTTCCGTACTGCCACTCCCCCCCCCCCTCCCCCATCCCATCTCCCCGTGCAGGAGGGCAAGCTGCGAGTGTTGCAGCACAACCGTGCCGTGCCTCCCCACCTGCCGCTGGGCATCGTGGAAGATGCATCCTTCGTACGCTCTCACCCTACCCCATGCCTCCTCCTGCCCATGCCTCCTTTCCCTGCCTGTGCAATGGGGCTTGCCGTGCCTCCTTCCCAGCGTGCATTTTCTTTCTTTTTCATATTGCTTTCCTCAACACACCGTCCCTGCCATTTCCCTGCACACGCCAATCCCATGTGCACCATGCGTCACAGTGTGTGACAAGCCATGCTTATCATAATCCTTACCCTCCTCCTCCTTCCCCCATGGCATCAGGACGAGGAGCAGGAGAACCCACAGCAGCCCCTGCAACCACCCTCACGAAGATTCCCCATCTTCTGACCGGGACCAACCACACACAGTCCCCAGTTCCCCCCCCTGCCCCTCTGCCTCCACCTAGTATTCAGCATCCCTCTCACCTCCCGCACCCTGCCGTCACCACAGCTCAAGCATGCTGGTGCATTGCGGCTAGTGGGCACACACCTCTGGCCAGGTCGGCCTCAGGAGCGCCTCTCACTGCTCCTGGAACATGCTTTGGGTTTCTCTCTCTCTCTGCCTGCTGTGGTGCTTCATTGCCTCTGGCCTATGGGCCTGGGCTGTCTGCCTGGGTCTCTCTCTGCCTGGGCCTCTGCCTGGGCTCTCTGCCTGTGCCACGTGGTGTGGTGGTATTGTACCGGTATGCTACAGAGCTGCTCATGACGTGACACAGGACACCCTAACGGTCTCTCTCTGTGTCATGTCACACATCTAGAAGTGCAGGGCATCTGGGTGGGGCGTGAGTGAGGATGGAAATTACAGTAGCTGCTGTGTGCTTCTTGCTGTTGATTCCTCTGCAGCTGGTTGGTTGAGCGATTTACTTCAGACCCTTGGCTGTGCACGTGTGGGGTACACGGCTGTGGAAGCAACTCCAAGTTCAATTCAACACATATGGGCTTGTTGTCGTGCATTGTTTAGGTGTCTATGGCCTGTGCTTGGCATTGGAGAAAATAGGACATCAATCAAAGCATGGTATGGCAAGGAAACGTGAACTGACATTCTAGTATGAACATATTTACACAGCACTTGCTACACCGTGAGCCAGCTCTGGTGGGTGGGATACTCCCTGCCTGAGTCCCTCAAGTACGCCTCCCAAACCAACACCCCTCAACAGCATCCAACAAGCACCACATGCTAGCCAAGCCATCCCCCCCGGCCCCCTGCCCCCCCCCCCCCCCCCATCATCCAAAAACCCCTTCCATCATCTTGGAGAACTCGCTGAAGTCCACCAGGCCATCCCCGTTACGGTCCACGCGCGCGATCATGCGCGTGCAGTCGGCCACAGACAGCGTCTCGCCGCTGAGGTCCCAAATGGCCCGCTGCAGCTCCTCCGCGCCGATCGTGCCGTCGCCGTCGCGGTCGAACACAGCAAACGCCTTCGCCAGGTCGACCTCCTCCTCCTCTTCCTCCTCCGACTCGCACGAGGTATTCGCTGAAGCGGTATTCGTTAAGCTATTGCTCTCGTCCGACGTGTCCGACGCGTGGCCCGGGGAGGAGCGGAGGCACGAGCCATGGTGGCTGAACCGCGCCGCCTGCAGAAACTCTTCGAAGTCGATCATCTCGTCGCCGTCTCGATCCGCGGATCGGATCAAATCTTTCGCCGCCCTCGGGTTGCGGCTGCCGAGCCGCTCCAGCACCTCCGAGAGCTCCTTCTGCGAGATCATCCCGTCGCCGTTGGCGTCCAGCGCGCGGAAGGCCCGCATCGCCTCCCGCCGCCGGCGGGACGAACCCGATCTAAGCTTGCCGCGCTGCTGCTGCTGCTCCTCCTCCATTTCCTCGACCTGTCGATAATTGCTTGAAGATACGGACGAGACGATTCCTGGATTATTCGTCAAGTTGCGGCGGTGACCTTTCCGAAAGGACAGATGCTTCCCGTACGCAATGCTCTAAACAAAACCTGCCGTTTGGTAGCCTGAGATCGCTGAGGGAAAACGATACTGGATTTCTGAAACGACGTATGCGATGCGAAGGTGAGAGACGTGGTAGACAGGGCGTGCAGATATTTATATGCGGAGCACGACGAGTCATGAGTCACATAACGACGATTCTCTCACGTCACGAGCCGAGCCACATGACTCACAGCAAGCAGCTCCCTCCCAGCCATTGCACTTCCCCCAGGTCGGTTCGCGCTGGGAGCGCGCCTCCCTGCTGCTGACGATCACAGGCGGGGAGCGAACCACACATTCGGCTAGCCAGAATCACCGTCGTGGGTTCTTCTGTACCGTGCTAGAACTTCTATAACCTGGTAGCACCGCACAGATTAACGAGAAATCGATCAGCTCAAACCAATACGCCGGAGGTGGGAGGAACCTGAACGGACCGAGACGGAACTTTCTGGTGAGGGCTGGTTGGCGCGCGTCATGCCGTCACGAAAGTGAGAGAGTTGGACTCAGCGAAGACGTCAGCTGTCGTCAACAAGGGTCAGCTGCTGCCCCTGGCACTACCGTAGCGAAATGACGAACATCAATAGGTGGCTCGTGCAGGGGCGCCTGGTCTGCCAAAACCATGCGAGGGTGGTTCCGCTACCGGAGCGGAATCTACACCGCACTCGACGAGATCATATCCTCCCGTATGATTTGTGAAGGTGCAAATGTTTCTAAACGTGCGTGCATTTCACGACATACATTCAACGCAAGGGGTAAAAACGCGAATTTCTCGGAAAAATACAGCGCCTATCGATTACGGTGAAGTCTGAATGTGATTCTTGTGTCATAATGCCGTGAACACGGATAAGGTTATTATAGGAAGTAATAAACAAGGCTCTGATAGAGACAATCAAAACCTACATACGCAGAAAAAAAAAATCTGGGAAAACTTCTGGACCTATCGGCGAATCAGTGCGAGATAAGGACAATGAAAAGTTGGCTAAATATGTTTTTTTATACCAGCACATTCAGCTCTTGCCCCACTCTTTTCAGTCCATGGTGTACACCAGCCCTCCCCCTCACTTTCTTACCCCTCCCCCACTGGCTCGAGAGACAGCTGGCCCAGCGACTGGTAACCCTTGGTCACCGTCACGCTGGGATCTGTTTTCGGCAACCAATCCCCCTCCACTAGGAAAGCTCTCTGATAGAGGCTTGTCGCCAGGGATTTCGCAAAGTTACACAAGTCTTCGTCAAATCAGGCAAAGACCCCTTCACATCTCAGATCCACCTGAGCCCATGGCTCAATCTTACACCGTTCAGACCCAGATCTCCATCTGATCCAATGGTAGCCAGTGCTCCCTTATCTTCATAGCTAACGTTCGTTTTGGCGAATTACTGGGCGAGCTACTCTTCGCATATCTCAGGCGTTCATCAAATCCCGTTGAAGCGATCCAACGGCCCTATATCCCTCCGCCCTTTTGTCCAATATCAACGTCCATTCCTTGAGCGGGAAACGTGAAGTTTTTCACGAAATTCGAGCGGGACTCACGCTAATTGGTTCAAAAAAGGCGATCCGGAGCCTTAATGTCGTCCACTGAATTCCTTACTTCAATCCAGACCGTACAACGAGATTCGCTTGAATAGATCTGATGGTCCTAGATCCTTCCCTCCCACTTCTCAAATCAAACGGAGTTGTTCCTTGGGGCACTTTCGTCCACGGGAAAGTGAGCCTGGAGTTGTTCCTTGGGGCATTTCGCCTCATTTCGCCTCATTCCAATTTGTCATCTCCAACATTCCCAGCCGTAGAGTGCCCCTCACGGGACTAGAACTTCCCTCAGCCGAGGCATTTCGCCTCATTTCTCGTCCGCCATCTCTGTTTGCAGCTACTGCGCCGTCGTGCTTCGCGTCTCCGCCTCCTCAACGTGGCTCTCGTCTCTTTCAACACGAAGATGCTTTTTAATATTCGCGGACGCTCTGCCATATGGTAAGTTCCAAGCGACAGCGTTACCTCTCCTGCCATTCATTTTTCCTTTTTGTTTTTTCCCTTTTCGGCCCTTCCACTGTGGACTTACTACTCGCTATGCAATGTTCAGGTTCTTATCTCTGCTGCTCAACGCTGAAGTACAACCAAGATCTGGAGCTCACGCGTTAAGCGTGGGGGGACGTTGATCACAAGTTCGTCTCTGCTGTTCGTCCGTGTCAAGCCGCTACTTCCATATGGCATGATGCTGCGTGCAAGATCGTTCAGCGGTAAGTTCCTGAGACGTCAACAGATTATGGTCAGACGACATTTCTCTGTTTTGGTTTCGCTTTTTCCTGATTCTAACTCTCGTGGTGCATGTTGCTGCAGGGAGGGATACACGTCGCCCCAAGTCAACAAACTTCAACGACCGTTTCTTTTACCAGCTTAACGAAGAGGCTCCCTACGGCCTTCTGACTCGCTCTGTGTGCGCCGTCAGCGAGCGACTTCCAGCGCCGTCGCTTCTGCCTCGCTTCTACTCCGACCAAACACGCCCAGCTAAGTACCCGATTCAATCCGTCGACCCGCCTCACTGCTTTCGCATTGACCTTCGGATTCCGCAAATCTTGCTGTTGTTCCCCTCGTCACTTCCATTGCTCATCGTCCCCACCCCCCTCCCATCCCCTCCACCCCGGGAGCCCATGGCCGCGGCGCTTGCTTGAGCCGCCTGCATAGGGTCCAGTCCTTAGCGGGTTAGGCGTTGTTAGACTTAGACCTGTCGCTGCGTGCACGCGTGAGTCTCCTCCTCCTCGCCGTCTCCCCTCGCTGCCGTTGGCTCGTGCTTGTGCGCCATGGGCCACCCCCCCTCCCCTCCCTCCTCCCCTCTCCCCCTCCCCCAGGTGTCGGAGCTGCTTCCGGGGGTGTACCAGGCGCTGGCGTTGCTCCAAGGTGTGCTGCTCGTGCCAGCGCTGCAGCGCACGCCGCTGCTGCTTTTCCCCTCGTCTCACTTGGCTCTCCTCCTCTTCCCCCCGCCCGCTCTCCCCTTGGCAGGTCACTTGGTCGCCGATTGCAAGGAGCCGCGGGGGACGGAGTCAAGAAACTTCAACGACCGCTTTTTTACCAGCTCAACGAAGAGGCTCCCTGCAGCCATCAGCGAGCGACTTCCAACGCCGTCGCTCCTGCTTCGTACTCCAGCCTTACACGCCCAGCTAAGTACTCTAATCAATTCGTAAAGCCGCCTCCCTGCCTTGGCATTTACTTTCTGCTTGCGCTAAGTTTTCGTGTCTTCCCCTCGTCACTGCGATTGCTCATCCCCCCCACCCACCCCCCTCCCATCCCCTCCTCCCCGGAAGCCCATGGCTCGCCGCGCTTGCTTGAGCCGCTTGCATAGAGTCAGTTGCTAGCGGGTTAGGCGTTATTAGTTATTCTTACAGTCGTCGCTGCGTGCACGCGTCCAGTCCCCTCCTCATCTCTGTCTCCCTCGCTGCTGCCTGCTTGTGCATGTGCGCCATGGGCGACCCCCCCCCCCCCTCCCCCCGCTTCCCCGCCTCCCCTCTCCCCCTCCCCCAGGTGTGGGAGCTGCTTCAGGGGATGCACCAGGCGCTGGCGTTGATCCAAGGCATGCTGCACGTGCCAGCGCTGCAGCGCACGCCTCTGCTGCTATCCCCTCGCCTCACTTCGCTCCGTCCTTCTCTTTCCCCCACCCCCCTCGCCCCTCTCCCCTTGGCAGGTCACTTGGTCGCTGCTTGCAAGGAGCAGCGGGGGACGGAGGGGAGCAGCACGCAAGCACCTGACGGCACAAGACAAGCACCTGACGGCACAAGACGAGCACCTGACGGCACAAGACAAGCACCTGACGGCACAAGACAAGCACCTGACGGCACAAGACAAGCACCTGACGGCACAAGACAAGCACCTGACGGCACAAGACGAGCACCTGACGGCACAAGACGAGCACCGCCTGCCACCTCAGCTGCCTTTTGCGCGCTCTCCCACCACCATCAGCTAAGTCGTTGCTTCCTCCGCTCACGCACTCTTGCATGCTTTGTCGCTTTTGCCTCGACCTCGTTTTGTTCTCCCGTAAAACGGTGCCACTGGTGGCTGCACGGTGTACGGGCCACACACCCCCCTTACTGCAGGTACATCCCCCCCTCAGGTTAAGCCTTCAGCTAACCCCACTGCAGGTAACAGCAGGTTCAAGCCTTCGGGTCTGTGACTAGTAGCCGTGCCTCCACCAGTAGCCCCTCCCCTGGCTGTTTCTCCATTTTACCACGCATGCATCCATCCCCTCTACCCCCACTCCAGCATTCGAGGCCTACTCATTCTATTTCTACTTGCATCCCTCTCGTTCCCCCCGTCCCCCCCTCCCTTCCCTTGCAGGAACTCAAGTGCCGGGACTGCTGGGGTGATGCTCTCGTCGCTGTCCGTTCCCCAACCATGGCCGCTCTTCCAACGCCCTCGCTAGAGCTGCTGCTGCTGCGGCGTGGTAAGCAAAGTAAACCTCCCTACCTACACCAGGCCTTATGTGTCGCATTCCCTGCCAGTGCTTGTGCCTTTCAGCTTTTGCTTCCTTGCCCTTCAAATTATGCCACTGCTTGAGGCCCGATTCACATGCCACAGACCCCCTACTCCAGGTAACCCCCTCAGGTGCAGGTATCCCCTCAGGTATCCCCTCAGGTATCCCCTCAGGTATCCCCTCAGGTTCAGCCAGTGCAGGTCCCCTGGGGGGTCTGTGGTTGTGGTCGTGCATCCACCAGTGGCCCCTCCCTTCCAATTACTCTCCAGTTATGCAACTCCTCATTTCGGTTGCTATGCATGCCATGGCACTGACTGCTGCTGCTTGTGCGCATTGCAGGTGGAGGGGAGGGGCGTGGGGTCAACGCCGACATTCCCTCACGCCCCTCCCCTGTGGCCGTGCAGGGGCGCACATGGGACGGCTGGGAGGAGCGCTGCCTTGTGCTGCAAGCAAGGGGTAGTATCCGGGGTGGGCTCGGCTGTTTAAGGTAAGCCCCTTTCCTTCTGTTGCAATGCCTGCTCGGTCACTTTCTGGTTCTGTTATAGTGGGCTCTCCCTTCGCTGCACTCACTTCTCTCTTCTCTCCCTTCCTCCTACAACACCTCCCCTCCCTCCTTTTAGGTCACC